CAAAGGGTATATTTTTTAAGAAAGTTGAAGGATTTTACTTCAAATGAAACGAATTTAGCAAACTTTTACAAATGCATTATAGAAAGTATATTAACAATTGCAATCATAGTATGGTATGGGCGGGCCACTGCAGAAGAACGCAAGCGTCTAGATACGGTCACATCAACGTGCGGCAAAATCATCGGTCTGGAACTCCCCTCTCTAGGTGCCATCTATACTAACAGATCAGAAACAAAAACAGAGAAAATCATGTCTGACTATACACACCCCGCGCATGGGCTTTTTAAATTTTTACCGAGCATTTGCAGACTTTCAACTTTTAAGGGATCTAAAAGGTTTTTAAAGGGTTTTTACCCATCTGCTGTATCTTATTTTAACAACAAAAATGGAAATTCATAATTTATAACCCGCCAATTTCCGTTTTATATGAATTTTTATATTTACGTATTAATGGCTGAATAAACTTTTATCTTATCTTAAACACCGGGGCATAGTACCGGTGTTTTTTTACAAGAAAGAAACACTTTGTGACCAGGGAAAATACACACTTTTAACAATGCATGGCTGTAAAAAATTCCCCGCACTGTTCCGGAAGTCAGGGGAGCCGAGTTTTAATTGACTGGAGCATAATTTTCAATGACTTTTGCAACAAGCAGATTTTTTGAGCGATGTCCTTACATTATTGATTAATGCTCTTGGCGAAAGACTGGAAATAAGTTGCGAATTAACTAAGATATCGGCAAAAGAACCAGGACACAGTGATAAGTTAATCGGGCATTTACACTGACTAATGCAATGGCGGATCCGGGGGAGGGGTGAGGGGCACAGTGGGTACATTTCCCTCCCCCTTTTTACCTTGGCTTTGAGAGTACCCCTTTCTCCCTTTTCACAGACAAACCCAAGTATTTGAAAAAAAACGACAATAATGATAATAATAATCCTTTGCCCAACATATTACAATGGGTCTACATGTATCTACTGTTTTATATTGCCTCGTTTCATTCGTCATTTTTTATCCAATTTCTTTTACACCAGCAAGAAGCCGGGGTTTTTTTTCTCGAGAACTGCCAAAAGACCTGACCACCTTTCAGAAAGAGAGAATATTGGAGCTGGGTGGCTGACCCAAAAAGTGAAAGAGGCCAAGAAAAGCAAAGACAGCCCACTGCTCCTTATCCCTGCAGCAGTAACACTGCCTCTGGTTCAACATGGCAGAACCTTTGTTTTTTAATTCATCATTTCTCACTCGTATCGGTAAGTTTGTCCACGCAACTCCTTATGTTTTTATGTTAAGCATGTGAATACGACGTATATGAGCCCACATAATTGTTAAGACTAGCTGAACAGAAAAATATTAAGAAATTAAATGGACATCAATGAATGATATCCTTAGCTCATATCTTCCATTCATTCAAAACGCTGTGTACGGACTCTTAATTTAAACAGTATATCTAAATTTTCATACTTAACTAAATCTGATGTATATGTTCTCGGCATTTTTATTTGTTTCTAACTGTTCTTAAATGTTTTAAACATGGGTTATACACGAATTAATGTACAGCTGGTTGCATTGTCTCTGCCCCAAAATCACCTGTATTACAAACGTGAAAATGATGGCGTATTAAATCCTCCTTATATATATAATCTTTTCAAAATATTTTTCAGTTTCAGTTTTGTTTTTTTACGTAAGAGGAATCGACAGATATTTTTATCGTCATGCTATTGACAAGAGTGTTCAGACTGCACTGATTACTCTGTTTACGAACATAATGCGATGTGCTTTGGTATGGGTCACAGGGTAAGTGAAATCTCTTTCTTCCTGCTCTGTTAACGCTGTGTTTTATTATCCCTATTTTGTTTCTGATGATCTCGGCATAGCTTGAAGAGAAAATCTCTGTAATGTAATAAACTCATCTTCAGCACAAAACAAAATCATTTGTGTATTTCCAGGCAAACAGTGACAACCCTTGTGACTGGTCATTCTCTGCTGCCCCACGATTTTTTCCTCCACGCCTGGATCATGGTGTTAATCCCTGTGTTTGCCTCGTGGTACAATGAAAATAACTTGGACAGCTTGTATGAGTACTTCTACTTGGCCCGGTTGGAAAAAGTGAGAAGAGTCCGTTAATGCGAATGCATTTTTGACTGAATAAGACTAGGGTTGATTTATTTACATTCATTAGTCAGTGCCACGTTTCATTATGTTGGCATTGTATCGAAAAAAAAGGTTAAAGAATAAAATCTGGAGATTATCCAAATGATTTCGTCACTTAGTATTTGAAAATAAAATCTAAAGAGGATTTTATTGTGATTATTTATTTCTTGCACTAGAAAACTAATGACAGTAAAAACAGGAATATTAGACAGAAATTTGAAGGGTGTAGTTTACGCTATTAGTGACATAATATATTAACACCAGTTAAAATTTTTCTCAACAGGATAGCGCCAGCAACGCCCAGAACGAGCAAGGCGAAGACATAACCAGAGAGATAGAAGATAAGCATCGTGCCACGTTAGCAATGACTAATATTAGCTGGGCATTGCTTATTGCCATCTTAATAGAGTGGCCAACAGCATTATTAATTGGCTACCAGATCTACCCGCTTTCTCTGAACGTAAACGCTCACAAATTTCTAAAAACCATTCATCTTCTTTACGTGGTAGATACTTTCCATCGCACTGCTCTATACGTTATACATTATCGTAGAGTGGATCTGAAATTGCTAGAGAACCGCTTCTGCACAGAAGTCTGAAAACCACTGCGCAGTTCACTGTGGGTCTAGGGCCAGTTTAACAGGAATGGAATTCCCAAATTTGGAAGTCCGGGCTCCCATATGATTTGTACAGGTAAGGGCTAGTTGGTGTATTGCAGTTAGTATATTGGACTACTGTCACCTGTACAAAGTAATGGGAAGCGGACTGCGGTTCCTAGCGGACTTCCATTCCTGTTACACCTGTCGCACAGTACCAATTAAAGTCCTGAAGTTGGTCTTCACCTCCACACCTATATATTAATACACTATGACCCAAAAGAAATGGCTAAAGTTTTAGTCAATTACTTGTTTTATTTTAATTCACTACATCGGTATGTTGGATTGAAATAGACCAAAATTTCCTCTTTAAAGTTAAAGATCAACTTTCTTTCCGATCTAAAGGTAAAGACCTACTTTCTTATGCAAAAGCGATCTCTGGGCATACTTGTCATTAGTTCACTAAAGTGCAGATTGCACTTGTTGGCCTGTCTTATAAAAATTAGAGTGAGAGAAAAACTCCATGAATACACAGGGGCGGATCAGGAGGCTCCTGGGCCCCGTAACTAGAAAACATCTAGCATTGCGACCGACCGCAAACGTCTCGATTCCATAACTCGCCCATACGCGCCCCATATTATACATTGTAGCCTCTATGTGATATCGCCATTCGCAATACGCGTTGCTTTCGAGCTAAGATCTAATAAACGGATATTAGATATGGTATATTAGATCTTAGTTTCGAGTTAAGGAGCTGACTGACCTCGGATGCAAAGCCGACCATCTCCCCCTTGGCGTGAGCAGTCCCCGAAAAATTTTAGGTGTTTTGGAGGGCAAACGGTGCTCTTTGGTACGGTTTAGAATGATTTAGCTAGTCGAAATTCTAATTTCAAGAGGTGTGGTATATTTTTCAGAAACCCAAGTAACTCTAGTTTTCTCTCATAATATTAGTATGTTATATATGTAATATATGATGTTATAATTGTGCATTTTTATTAGTTTCAGTTTAGTTACAGTAAGAACATATATTTATTGGGTGTTAAAAGTTAGCTATCTTTATTAGATGCAATATAATTGGTTTTTGAGGTTATATAATAAATTAAGTATCGCAGACATAAACAATTACAGTATCTCTGTGAAGTGAACCTCCCAATGTTCTGGGATAAATAACTGATCACTTTACCACTCGGGTGTAACACCTAAATGTGTTTTCTCCTGTGACTCTTGGTCACATTCATCTCCACTCAGACCAGACTTAGACCAGACAGAGGGAGACACCTAAATCTAGTTTTATTTCAATTTCTTGTATTTATTTTACAAAGACTATTTTTTTATTTGTAAGGAATATCGTAAGGTATGTTTGTATTTTGTAATGTAATTTTGTGCTTTGTTTTGTTTTTTTTAGTGACCAGCAGTACAACAGTGCAATATTGTGATGCTTTAAAATATAAAGACAAACGTTCGGTGGAGCTGTAAAACCTACCCCGATACAAACAGATCCATCAGTGCAGTAATAATCCCCCTCC